AAATTAAAGTCAATATATATCACTCATATTTATGATTACTGAGCCATATGAAGGTGTTATAAAATCAAAATATAAACTAAAGAAAGACTGCATCAAACATACTCTATTGTTATTAATACAATAAAATGTTTTCAAGAATTTTAACTTTAATGAGAAGAGATCCTACTTTAACTGAGTTTTTTTCAGAGTGTGATAGCAACCCTGACATTAACTAATCTTTAAAAATATAACAAATAAACAGGAGGCAATTAAGGACAATGATGTTTCTATTTTATAATAACTTTAAAAATGACATTGGTATCAAATAATGCTTCCCTGAGGGGTACAAAGCCTTTCCTTTGCAAGACAGAAAGGGTATTTAAGTTACTGAGACTGAATAAGCTGAATTCGGAATCTGTATCATGTATGCTGGCCGAGGACACATTCTACATGCTAGGTGCTATTCCAATCACCTTTACATGGACTGATTCAGCTATAACCACCTCTCGGTGATTTAAGCACCACTATAACTTTCTCTTTAAAGATAAGGAAACTGCCAGGCTTGGTGACACATGCCTGTAATCCCAGCACTAGGGAGGCAGAGGCAGGAGGATTGCAGGCCTGGGCTATACAGTGAGTTCAGGACCAGTCTGAATTACATAGCGAGACCCTGTCTCAAAAAGTAAGATAAGGAAACTAAGATTCAAGGAGGTTAAGTACTAACCCACCATCACACAGCCAGGAAGTGACAAAACTGCATCTGCTCATGGACCCCTCAGGGTCTATGAGCTCTGTGTGTGTGCATGCATGTGCGCATGTGTGTGTGTGCACGCACATGCTGAATATTCATTCAGGTTTTAAAATGTTTTACCTTTATTAGTACATGTTTGCAGTACAAGGTCACATTCATTACGAGGAGTTGGTTCATGTACACAACACATCTTCATTTTTTACCCTCCACTCATCTCTTCCTCCCCTTCCCATTTACAAGAGATCTGTTTCCTATCATCTATCTTTTATTTTGCTCTTTAATTCATTTATATTTTGGGTTTGTAATATAAGAGAAACCATGTGATATCTAAGCTTGTGTGTCTGATTTATTTCATTTACCATTATGGCCTCGAAGTACATCTATTTTCCTACAAATGACTCAAGTTTATCCTTCTTTGTGGCAAAGTACACTCCACTGTGTGTAAATACCACATTTTCTTTATCCATTCATCTGTTGAAGGACATATAGGCTGCTTCTTTTTTTTTTTTTTTTTTGGTACCAGGGATTGAACTCGGGTCCTTGTGCTTGCGCAGCAGGCGGCGAAACCACTGAGCTAAATCCCCAGCCCTTATAGGTTGCTTCTAAGATTTAGCTATCATGAATTGTGCTGCTATAAACATGGGTATGCACGCATGTATCAGTCATATGGTGTCTTTACCACAGTGCCTCCTTTCCCAAAACTAAGCTAGACAGATGTTCTTCACAGGGGCTGCATCTTATAACAACAAAAACTAAAGTTTTTAATATATCCAATATTGTATCAATCCCAATATATTCTTTGAAACACATGATGCAAATTTTCTGCTGAGATTTGAAACATGAAACACCACGAGGCATCTCCTGCTTCATCAGGGTGTTCCAGAGTTCATCAAGATTTTTCCACACAGTATCTCCTCCAAAAAAGTATACATAAGGAGTTCAAGTTAAAACTCAGGGAACTGACAAGGGAAGACAGTAGGCAATTTTTAGATAATCAAAAGGCCAGAGAGGGGAGCAAAATTACCAAGTATTTTCATCAAATGCAGAAAAAATTGGCTTCTATTTCATCAAAAAGCTGGGCTGGTCTTTAAGGGTCTTTCAACTCTTGTAGTCATTGGGAATCACAGACAGGTGGCTTTGTGAAGCCCATCAAGAATATGGGTTGGATTTTTAGAGAGTCTTTGGACTTTTCTTTCAGCGCAGATTGAAACCTGGGGTTAGAAACAATAATGATTAGAAATGGAAAGCTACTGGTCCAAGTTCTCCTGTGCCCAACTCCAACTCTCTTTTGTGGCTGCACACTTGTCACCAGCTCATTCACATGACAGAGATTCTCTGAGGAATCTCCACATAGCAGGCACATTTCAGGTGTCTGTACAAGGGCCGCATAGTGGCTTTCCAGATCCCTGGGTCACTTTTGCCTCCCTGGTCCCTTTTCTCTCATAAAAACATTAAAATTCTATTTAATGACTATATTGGTAAAAAGACAAGGGAGTCCTGACTGGATACATTATTGTATATTCATTCTTAGTATGCCCATTTTTTTCTCCTGCTTCTAAAAGAAATTAAAATTGAGTGCTTGAAGACTCCTTGAAGTTTCATGGGCCCCAGGTACTGTTGACTGGAACACACAACTTGGTGAAACCAAAGAGTGACTGAAGGTGAACAATATTCCATCGAAGTTAGAATCGAAATGAGGCAGTGTAGATTTGCACACAGCCCATGTACTGAGCCAGCTGGTTACCAGCTTTATGACAATAAAGGTATCTGTAGATGCTCCTCAGCATTCCAAAATGATTTATTCAGAATGGTTCTTCCACTGTGGGAGAAGACATCTGGAGCCCTCACTTCTCAACTGAAGATAGAGGCATTCAGTAGAGTATTCCAGATCAGTCTCCGATACTCAGACATCCCTAGGCGTAAGATGCCAGGAGTTGTTTAGGCAACAGTAACTAAGCTGCTAGCAGCTTCACATTTCATCAGTATCTTCCTTCTATTAAGTGGCTCCATGTAATACAAGTCTAGCAAGATGTATGATTTATCAGGCATTTGTAATTAATAGGTCACCCGGCATCATTATAAATCCAGGTGTCAAAAATAAGTAAGATGATTCATCCGAGTAAAAAAAATAGGCCACTCATTCAGGATTCTTGGAAACCATAGATATTTGAATACCTACATTTTTAAATTATGTATTTACAATTAGAAAACTACACTCAGCAACCTGGCGTCCTCAGTCTTCAGCAGCCATGTGTTTCAAGCTGTACCAGATCATAGGGATAGGAACCGAGACCATTCAAACTGAACAATGGGGTAAATGAAATTAAGTAGATTGTAGTTATAAATATACCTCGCATCTATTGGCATAGGAGAAGGGGTATTTAGAAGGCAGAGACATCCTTTTATCAATAATTTTGTCTTATAGAGACATGCGAGGGATAGGGGATGAAAAAACATTAAGATGTTACACACATATACCAACTTTCTACCATAATTAATTATTATGTAGAGCAAACTTGTACTAGTAAAAGAATTTTTAAAAAGAAACCCCTTAAAATCTTGCAGTACAGGTACGAGATGGGTGTGGTGGGCAGAAACGTGGAAGAAGCCTGAAGAAAGATTAACAAGGCCCGTGACCCGTCACTATCAGCTTCCAGAGCACACTTCTGCAGAAGCTTCTCATCAGTTCTCTACTTGGTGTCCACACTGTTTCCTTTGCTGGGAGCCCACTCTGTACTCTGGTCCCCAGATGTTCAGGACGCTATAGCGGGGTTAACACATCACCCCCAAATTTAGTGATTTCAAACAACCCATTCATTTTGTTCAGTTTTAGGGCCCTAGAACACAAGGAGAGCTAACCTGGGCAGCCCACCTGTGTAGTTATGGCTGCTTGCAGTCAGTTCGGGAGGGCTGAGTGCCCATGATGGTCAGTAGCTGATGCTGTCAGCCGGGGCTCAGCTCTGCTGCCCACCAGCCACCGGGTGGCTTCTGACCTAGCCCGACACAGCACTGTCACTTCCGTGGCTCTCCATGTTCTATCCTTGGATCGCTGAGGTGGGCTCAGAAAGCCACTAAGGTTGGCTCAGATTCTGGGGAGTAACAGATCTACCCACCATGCCATAGGAGGAGTGTCTGAAATTGTACAGAACTATTTGAAAATCACCACAGCACACAATGAAGCCACAGAGTGGAGTTCTGCCAGCCTTTGGGAAGTGCAGTAACTGCTTGACCAGTGTAATAGGGTGAGCAGGAATGACAGCTGTCGGGCAACAGCCACTCCACGACAGGGTCACTTCCTGGGGAAATTCTCACACTCCCTTGTCCACTGGTGCACAGAGCACCCCGATTGTACAGAGAAGCATCATTATTTAAGTGACTGACACTGTGCTCCTGCTGCTTTGTGCACAAGCTCCCCATGTCAGAAGTCAGAGGGGAAGTGACAAGGAGAAAGGTGTGGCTGGACAGGAGTACGCAGGTGACCACAGCAGATGTCGGGGGCTGGCATGATGATGGCGGCTACCGCAAACGAGGGGAGTTTTGTGTAGAGGAATAGCAGGGCCTGAGTCCCACCGCAGCAGCTGTGTTGAGAACAGGCTGAGGGCAGCAGGGGCAGAGCAGGGAGCTGCTCACGGGGCTAACGGAAGGATGGAGAGGATGGGGGCTGGACGGCAGCAGCAGCAGCTGAACGGTGAGAAGTGGCCTTTCCGGGGATGTTTTGAAAGCAGAGTCCAGAAGCATGTGCCACTGCTTTGGTCTGCTAGCTCGGCTCTTTTTGGCACACACTTGCAACTTGGGACTCATTTGGTAGCTGTACAGCTGATAGGAATCCAGCCATAAAATATAAGAAGTATGAAAACACAGGAACTTAATGGCCCCAAGTCACCTGAGTAAAGAATTGTTTTTACACAAGCAAACGCACAGACAATCACATTTTTGCTTGACCATGTGCATTCTTTTTCCTTTTTCTTCCTCCTTTTAATGTCATACTCGGTGAATTCAAACAGCTGTCCCAACTTCGATGAGCTGTTAAGTGCTCAGGAACAATTTTCCTTTTTCTGAGTTAGGATATTTTGAATTCAAATTGTGCGATCATGCACATCTTAATATCACAGAAAAAAATACACAGCTCTTAAAACATCTGGTTGTTTGCTACTGTCAAAATTTAACATCACGGGGGCTGGGGATTTAGCTCAGTGGCTCTGCCACCTGTCTTGAAAGCGCAAGGTCCCAAGTTCGATCCCCGGGACCAAAAAACAAAACAAAACAAAAATTTAACATCATATTTATTTAATAAGGTAATGACACACAGAAATACTAAAATCATGGGATTGTTTTGGGACGTCACTGGTTGGGTTTAATTTTCATGGTAGAGTTTGTAAAGAAACTGACAATTCTCAAACACTATAGGAACAAGGGAAAATTTATGTAAAAATTCCTTAAAGAGTGTCATGGCTTTGCCGGATGCAGTGGTACATGCCTGTAATCCCAGCACTGAGGCAGGAGGATCGCTGAGTTCAAGGCCAGCGTGGCCTACAATGTTCAAGGTCGGTCTGAACTATGGAGCAAGACCCTGTCTCAAAAACCGAAGAAGAGTCTCATGGTTTTAACTGCCATAACCTAGAAAAGTGATTCCCAAGTTTAAATTTTCTTAGCTTGATCTGGTGACACTCCCTACATTCTTTGCTATGCATTAACATTCATCTAATTCAAATAAAAGTAAAATAGGTATCATAAAACAGATTGAGAATCACTGTTCCTTCAGACATATTGAAGTGAATGATCAGTTTGTAGTAAACTTGGTATGATCACCACAGAAGTTACCTACCAGTGCCACCACCAACTCATGATTCTAGAAGGAAAAGAAAATGAATGGTGAGCAGAGTTCTAGCGTGTCTCCTGGCCTTAGACCTCACGCTTCCAGAGAATATACTAATGTACAAAACCACAGTGCCCTGCTAATGTTGTAAACAAATTCCAGTTGCTTTTTCTGCATAGTGTCAAATTCCATACATACATACATATATATATAAATGTTTCAAATATGAAAGAGCCAGAAATGGTACTAGAAAAATGAGGATGGATTCTGAGGTCATACAGACCAGAGTTTGAATTGTCAGAGCTTAAACCAATTCCTACTTTTAAGAATTTAAGGAAAAATGGGCAAAGCTAGACATACAAAGATGTTGTGCTTAGTGTCTTATTTAATGTTTTAATTAAAATGCTAAAAAAAACTGGACATGGTGGTACATCCCTATACTCCTAACACTTGGGAGGCTGAGGCAGAAGGATCAAGAGTTCAAGGCCAGCCTAGGCTACATAGTAGGACCTTGTCTCACAAAAATAGGATAAATAATCTAAACATACACAGGTTGAAATCTGAAAACCCCAAATCTGGAATGATCCACAAGTGTCATGTCAGCATTCAAAAAGTTTCAAACTTTGACAGACTTCAGGATTAGGGATACTGAACCAGTAAAGTCTATATAGATAGTTCAGAATCCAGAAAACCCCAGAATCCGGTATCTCTTCTGCTCCTAAGCATGTCAGATAAGAGATATTCAACCTTTATAATCTAAGTGCAACTTAGGACTGGTGAAAAAAGCAATGGTTTATCTCATGATGAAAAGCAGAATATTGCTATACATACAGGCTAGATCAGGCTGCAGTTAACACCCCCCCCCACACACACACAGTCACTCACACTTCTCTCTCCACGACCTCCATGAACAAATGTCACTGCAGTCTCTCATCAGCAATGAAAGGCTTCTGCCCCTACTGCATTTGCCTAGCAGATCACAAGTCTAACTAGACCTCCAAGTGCTGCAGACACAGGATCCCACCGAGAGCCCAGAAAGCCACGGCCATTATGCACTACAACCACGCACCAATTAAAAATATTCACATGGAAATCTATTTTTTAACATACGTAAACTATGAATAAGGTACCAAGTGGAAAAATAAGTACATTCCCATTACAGTGATCTCTAGGTGTGTGTTACATATGTATTTTTAAAAACATCAGAAAGATATACAGTATGTTTAATGTTTTCTTTGGGTGGTAGTAAACTTGCTTCATATTATTTGGTAGTATCGTTTCTTTTTCTATTATAAAAAATACATTGATGCTAAAAGCAAGCTGTAACTGTTTCTGAAGAACACACAGTAACAGACTGGCTAAGACAACCTCACTGCGTTAGCTGAGGAATCAGCTCTGGGTCTGCACCACTGAGTCCTAACTGACCAGCCTGAATGGCTTCGGGGAGAAGAGGGGACCAGTGTCCCCCAAAGCTCCGGGCAGGGCAGCCCGAGGGCCTGAGCACCCTGCCTACACTGACTGATGTTGCACACTGGCCCTCTCACTCTGCAAGTGCACGGTGCCCACAGCCTCGCACGGAGACCAGGACACGCTGAGTGTGGGGAGGCCGGGTAGGTGGCACATGTCTGTGTCAGGCAGATGGACAGAGAGACAGAATCTTTGTGGTTTCCTTGTCTGTGAAACATGAATGGGGGAAAATAAGGCCATGCAGAGCGTTGCCAAGATTGAGTGAGACAATGCAGGTAAAGCAACCAGCACACAGAAGGTGTCAAATAAATGACTGATACTATTATTGCCCTAGGTCTAGATTAAACGTAAGAAAAGCTCGATTAAGCAGCACAGTAACAAGCAAGGGATATTTTATTGTATGCATATTCTCCAAAATCCCCCACAAAAACGCACCCACAAATAGGAGCAAAGAACAAAGTTTTCTAGCCTCTCTGGGATACACAGGGCATCATATCTCATAGAAACATGGCTAGTATAAAAACAAAGTGTACTAGTTAACATCACCTTTTGTTTCCGGGTCAAAAAAGGTTGTAGAGAAAAACACTTTATTTGTACTCTACTACAAATGTGCTGCACAATTAAACTTCAGCTTACTCAAAGAGTTATGTATAGGAAACTGCAGAAATATGGAGGAGGCATTCAATAATCTGCTCACAATTAACAATTAAGCAATAAACAGTTGAATAAATGCAGCATGTATTACTTGTTAAACCTCACATTGATAATGAGCAGATGATTTATCACTAATAGTAACTGGTTTCTTACTTTTTAGGAGATACCAGATCCAGAAATGGAAGCAGAAAGTACTTTAAAGAAAATTGATTTTAGAAAATATCTCCTTGGATCTGAGCTGCTATAGTACACATCACATATTTGGGTTGGGATTCAACCGTTTAAAAAACAGATACGAACAAATTGAATTGCTATGGGAGGGAACAAAGTAATATCTTCTAAAGCAATACATTATTTTCTGCTTATATCCTCCAGGGAGCAAGACAGAAATAGGGCGTAGTAAACAGATTTACAATACAGTATAATGAATAATAATTTGTTTCTATGTAATGCTATTAGGGGTACTTCTATCACTTGGACTAATAGACAATTTTAAAATGTGTTGATGATGAAGAACCGGCATTTCCTCGTTACATATGTACAAGAGCTGAATATAAGCATCTTCTCTAATATTCTGTACTTCTCAATCCCTATTCATACAAATTAGCCTGAAGATTCGGGAAAGGAAAGAACAGGAAACTGTCACTTGAAGAACTATATTAGGTGACCCATTCATGAGAAAGTCAAAATAACTATGAGACTATCTGTACCTTCTTTGTATGCCTTGTCAGTACAACTGAGAAAATAATTTTTCCCCACTCCTATAAAAAATATTACCCCATTTGCTGCCTAACGTGTAACAGAAACATGTTTTTGAAAAGAAAAGAGATTGTAGGCTTAGGTGGACAGCAATCTATGTTAAAACATACTTAAGGAAATTCTTCCTTAAATATAAATTTCTCCCGTGACTCATATTAACTCTGTAAAAGGCCTGAAACAACTTTTACATTCTTTATGGAACAGAGTTTTTCATCAAGAACATTTTAAAATAAAAATATTGGAAAGCTATGCACTATTCTCAGCAGCTGTGATATTCCATTCAATTTACCACAGACATGAGAGTGTCACATTTCACAGAAGTTCAAAGGCAACAAAAACCACAGCTCTGCACTCTTTCACAGGGCAAGGACTCGATCACATTCTATTTTCCTTTTGGGACTTAAAATCCGAGGATAGAACCTTTGTATGGACCAAACCATTAACTGAATGAAAGTTAATATATGAAATTGAATGTTAAACATTATGTTTTAAAAGTTATCACTCAGTTTTCCTTCCAAATTATGTTAGTAACATATATTTTGTAAAGAGTTGAAGAAGTGTTAAAGGAAACAATGTTTTAAGATGATGTAACACAAAAAATTTAAAGAACAACAAAAGCCTTCCTTCCGGCCTCATTCTGAAGACAATCAGATTTCATGCAGATCCTTCCGGAATACAGCGTGCCCAACTGACTTTCCTTTCCTTTCCACTTGTATCACACAGTCAGTAAGACTCTAGCTTAACTGCCTGTCATGAACTTTTCTATCCCTGTAAGCCATGGATGTAAACCAGATTTAGTCCTCTAGTTTCACCATACAGAACGACCATGTTGCCTTAATATGAACCCAACACAGTGATGCAGTAGGTTTTAAAAAAAAGTCAATATCCAGGGGCCGAGGATTTAGCTCAGTGGTTTCGCTGCCTATCTCGCAAGTGCAAGGACCCGAGTTTGATCTCTGGAACCAAAAACAAAAAAAACAAACAAAAAAACCCAATATCCATTAGTAAGGCTAACAAAGATACTGTTCCTGTCTGTTTTTACATTTGCCCTTTTTTAAAAAGTACGTCCTTCAACACTCACTCCCACAGCCCTGAAGGAATAGACACATGTGCCATTGTTCAAACAAACAAACACAGAGATAAATATATATATATATTTTTGGTACTGAGGATCGAACTTGGGACCTTGCACTTGCAAGGCAGGCACTGAAACCACTGAGCTAAATCCCCGGCCCAGAGATAAGTGTTTTAATATTGAAAGATAGGCTCTCCATTCCTTAACCTCTGCCTCATCCTAGAACTTGGGTTCAAAGGTTTAAAACAACAGCTTTTAAATAATTTTTGCTAGTTGTGATGAAAGTGATTTACCAGTTAGGAATTCCTATACAACACGTGATTGATAATTATAGCTCTGGCCACCAAGTTCCTCCTATGGAATGTGGCAAACACTCATTCCGACTAACAGTCAGCATCATTTCAAAGCTTTGGAGTACTTTTCTGAAGAGGATATTAAATTGCCACAGTATCGCAGGGGCTCGTCTTGGGACTACGAACAGAACGTGTCTGTTAGGAGGGCCACATGTTCCACAGAGCAGGCTGATCATTTCCCAGCGCCCGCGGGCTACCAGCTGGCTTTTCTAAGTCGTTCCTAGCTGCAGCGAGGAAATGTCAGGTGACTTGTGTGACTCTCCTGTTAACAGCACCATAGAAAAACATCCTCAGGGTGCACTGGGGGAAGGGAAGGATGTGGACGGACTTGGTTGCTACACAAGTCTCATGACTGACATCACGACAGCTGCAAAGGTTTACCTGTGACACATGGAAGGGTTTCTCTGGAAGGGAAGCCACTGAAATGGACCAAATGCTGTGTGCGGATTATGGCACAACCCGAAGACACCACGTATGGCGAAGCCAGAGCCACCTTCGCACACTGCCGGCAAGGAGGGTGGGCCCTGGCTTCTTCACTTTGTCCTCCCCCAACTCCTGCTCTGACAACTGGGAGCCTCTGGACCCTCGGAAGGCCTGCTGGTCTGTGTGGATGTGATTGTGCTTGGGACAGTGTTAAGAAAGTTCTAAACATTAACGTTTTGTTCAATTTTTTCCCCCTCTAAAACTCTCTCCGCGAGGGGACGCTCCTCACCCACGCGCTTCGGTTCACGAGGAAGTTTCAATGAAGCCATTCCACTCCTCGGGAACCGCCACAGACCGTTCCGAGTTGGTTCCCACGGGTGAGTTCCTTTATATTGTATTCTTTAGAAAAATGTCTTTAAGTGGCTGCTGTCCTTCACGTGACAGTGGCCATGGAGCTACACAGAAGGGTTTCGGCAGGTGGAGGTCACTGTTTGTAAGGTTGGGCCATCGCCAGGTCTTGGATCAGTGCAGGGAAAATCCAGTCGCCAGACTGCAGCCCACCACAGGCGTCATGTCCCAGATCTGCAAGAAATGGAACAGGGAAGGGAGAGTCAGTTATTGAGTCCAATGTCAGGAGTCAGTACTGACAAACTTACTTCTGCTGACCTAGAAGAGCTACCAAAGAACAATTCTCTGTCTCTCCTCTCACTACAAAACCTCCCGACGCTGACACTGTAATAAATCCGGTTCACTAAAACAGGTCAAAGGCTTATACTGTGGTATCTCAGTGCCTGAAAACCGCACCACAGTAATCTTTTACGACAGTTTTTTTTTTTAATGTGGCCTGATAGGAATAGATTTCATAGTTTAACATATCAAGAGGGGTACTAAGTATAAAATATTTCCTATTTGTGTTAGTGTTTTCAGAGATTTCATCATGAAAAACTGTGTGGTTACTCCTTACAGGTAGAACGCTGTCTCTCCAGAATTGTGAAGAAGGCCTAGACTCAGGGCTCAGGGAGTCCCAGGCCAGTGGGGAGGTGGTCAGCTCAGCACCACCTACAGGGTTTAAGCGGTGCCAGGCGCTTGGCAGCTCCTTCTGAAGATCACCAGGGCAGAGGGGAACACCGCCGAGATTCCTGGCACCGGAGTGAAAATTCAGAGGCGTGAACCTGTCCCTTGGGGTTTCAGCCTGGCGGCAGGCTGCGTCGCACGGGGAGGCGGGCCCGCCAGTCAGAGGGGGCGCGCGATCTCACCTTTACCACGCGGTCCGTCCCACACGTCACCATCAGCCCCCGGGTGATGTCCATGGACATGTGTGAAATGTTGTGTTTCCCTTCATGGAAGGTTGCTAGAGAAGTCCGACTGACAGAGAGAGAAGAGATCACTGAAACTCACCTCACTCTACTGGAGCTAAGAGATGGGCTTTTCTTCTTTAAGCAACATAAACAACATAAATGTTTACGATAATAGTGTTAAAAATGGTTCCAAAATGTAGCTATAGTTTTGAAGCTATCACTAAAGGATAACAGAAAGCAAAGTTTTAGAAGACACTCGATATAAGTGATTTTTTAAAATGTTATTGGAAATTGAACCCACGCTCCATCTCTTTACTTTTATTCTCTTTTTATTTTTTATTTTGGAGCCTGGGTCTTCCAAAGTCTCTAAGCTGCCCAGGCTGGGCACAAACTTGTGTTCCTCCTGCCTCAGCCTCCCAGAGTGCTGGGATGACAGGCGTGTCCCACCAAGCCTAATTTTCACTTTTTATTAGACAAGCTGACATATAAAAACACAAGGCTTTGGGATTTAGCTCAGTGGCACCGTGCCTGCCTCACAAGCGCAAGGTCCTGAGTCGACCCCCAGTATCAAAAAACAAAAACAAAAAAACCCACAAGGCTTTGCCTGGTGTGGTAGCTCATGCTTGTAATCCTAGTACTTGGGAGCCTGAGGCAGGAGGATCACTGCAAGTTCAAGACTACTCTGAAGTACAGAGAAAGACTCTATCAAAAAAACAAGAAAAGCAAACCACACAGGGCCTTTAAGAGGAAGAGGAACTGCACTGAATGAGATCATACGGCATGGACAAAACATGCATCACAAAGCTACAGGGTCCCCGAAGCCTCTCTGCCACCCACAGTAGCAGCCTCTGCCCGCAACTGGCACTAACGCTGCTCTGCAGCCCAACATCCTCCCTCCCATCACCGGCTTTTTAACCACCAGTGGTGACGCCCTGGCTGACAATGTGGGCCTCTGCCAGGGGTGCCCAGTGCATGGGTAAATGGCGATTCGGTGAGAGGACAGAGAACAGTGGTCCTGTCCTAACGGACCTGCCCGGGTCAGGGCAGGATGGGATGTGTAGACAGATGCGTCTCATACACAGTGTTATGTAAAAGCGGACTTCTAGGTCAGATATCTGTACAAGAAAGAGCACTGGTCTCTAGTTTTCCCTGCACGTTTGCATCCATGCGTGGACAAACGTCGGGGTGGTAGATGTTTTTGTAGACAGTTGGCTCAACCACTGCCTTCCATGCACAGTGGACTTGTCCCTGCCTGGAAGCCCTTGGGATGTGGGGGCTCAGGAATGTCTCATCAGCTCCAATGGGTCTCAGCATTCTTCCCAGTGTTCAAGAAAAAGTCTGTCCCAGCCAGAAGGGTGGCCTGAGAAGAACAGCACTGGTTGCAAGTCACAAATGGAGGACGGATCTTCTCTTTGGAAATGTTCATGAAATTCAGAAGGGACAAACACATAGGGAGAACGCTACCTATACCATTTCTTGGGTTATTTATATTTAACAAACCCTTTTTTGGGCCGGGGATTTAGCTCAGTGGTTTCGCCGCCTGCTGCGTAAGCGCAAGGACCCGAGTTTGATCCCCGGTACCAAAAAAAAAAAAGAAACCCTTTTTTAAAATTACTATTTATTTTTAAGAAACCCTTCAGAGTAAGATGCAAGAAGACAAAGACATGCGAGCACTCACTCTTCGTCTTTGATGGAGTCGTAACACGAGTCACACACTCGGACCTGGAACTCGAAGCCCATGACCGGGTAACTGGAACGTTTGCTGCTGCATTTTCCACACACGGCTTGCCCGCACTTCCGGCAGTGATGCTTCCAGACCAGAGGAGGAAAACAGGGTTTAGCCTTTGCTTTAATGCACATGGCTTCCCTTTAAAATTGGGGAACAGGAGTGGGGAAGATATGCCTTGAATTATAATCACCCCAATTCAATGGATTATTAACACCAGATAATTTCAACACTAATCTTTATTGGTCAAATACTGCCCTTTATTCCTTCATATCATTGGTCTACATGTTAACAAAATTAAAATCAAGTTCAAGTTCATTTAGGGGCTGAATCACTGCAGATTTCAGGAAGGAAAATCTCCTCCATTCAAAGAAAAGTTTTAAAATAAGTTGTACATGTAATATGCCTTCACTAAGAAAACAGTGTTATGCCTTGTCATGTAGCTATTTCCCAAAGCCTCCCTCGTGTGCTCGCAGGTGGGGCTTTCAGGAGCAACTAGATCATGGGTGTGTGATACTGGATTCATCTACTAATTGGTTTAGCACAGTTCTTAGTGTGGGTGATGGGTTTACCGAAGAGGGAAGACCCACCCTGGGCATGGGTAGCACCAACCAACAGGCTTTCGACCTCGATGGAATAAAAAGGCAAAGAAGACTCATTGCTTCCTGCCTGCCACGCCATGAATGGTTTTGCCTCTGGGGAACCTGCCAACTATGGACTGAAACCTCTACAAATTATAAGCTAAAGTAAATCTTTCTTCCTTTAACTTGTGGGTATCAGGTATTTTGTCCCAGCAATGAAAGAGTATCCCTAAGTTTTGTATTTTTAATTTCCCAAACTGTGATTCGAGTAATAGCCTCAAGAACATTCCAAAGTAATCCAATTATTATTATTCTGACATATTCTTTACCACTGAAAGTTTAGTGACCGCACCTTTTCTTTCTCTTCTATTAAGTCATTAATGCGTGAGAGTACAGTTCCCTTCATGTTTCCCTTAAAAATAAGGAATACTTCATCCACAAACTACAATGCACTATCTACCACTAGCCACGCCATATCAGAACTTAGCTAATGGCAGAATTCAGGTGCTATTTCAGAGCATTAAATGTTATAAATAATAATTAATAATTAATAATTCCTACATTGGCTGCCAGTCTCATATTAGACCTTACTGTAGCGTACCTTTGTGAGTAAACTCCAAGTTTATTAACACATACAAATTTTAGACTAAACCCTCGAGCTGCAACCAGTAATAAAAGGAATAAAATCAGCATTCTCTTTGATTTACCTACACACATTCATATTCACCCTTGTAAGGGGCCACCGCCAGGCTGCTGCAGAAATACATTTTGTTGTAGAACTTCAGTATTACATGAATACCTCATGCTACAAGCATGAGGTATCTGTAGGTTAGGGAGGTTATTTTTCTTTAATTTAATTAATAAAAAAATAGCACTCAAAACATACTTAATAAAAGTATTCAAAAAAAAAAGTATTCCAGGTATACTTTTACCAGAACCATCTGGAATACTCCAAAATCAATAGGGTCAGAGTATGCCAGTGAGGACTAAATGGTTACTTTTTATCCGTCTGTAACAACACATGGTACATACTTTATGCCCTAATTTATTCTAATTTTATACTTTGCTGGTGTGAAATACTGACTTTAACAAGTAACGGTTTACACTGAAAAGATCGTTTAAGGATTTAAAAGCAGGTTCTCAGGATCTCCCGTGGATCCCCACTTTTCCTGTGCAGGAGCAGCAGGGGAACAGTCAGGCAGGCAGCAAGTCTCGGTGGTCCTAGGAAAGCGTGAGCTCACTGGCAGTCACAGAATGACAGTGACACGCAAAACGTGGGAATTAGCAGAATGTGCAAGAACAGAGTAAGATTTTAAAAAGTCAGATGAATCATAAACATGATCACTCCAGTAACGATTTAACGTTGGCTACTCACCTGTCTCAAGCCCAGTGTCTTCGTGTCCCACATCTGCTTTATATTCCAGAAAAAGGGCTGCTCGCATTTCTGACAGGAATCACTTTCCAACCACTGAGGAGCCTGGGAGAGCATGAAGTCAAAGCAAGCATCAGCACATCTGTCTGTTTACACTGCTATCTCACAAATGAAGACGGGAAGAGGTCTAGAACTTGCTGGGGTTACTACTTTTCTTTTCTTTCACAGTATATCTTAACCCGTTGTCACAATCAATATTTTATGTTTGTGTTGCACAATTATTACAATTTTAGCATTGTTTACAGGGTTATTTAATTTGAAATCTGTAGCTGTCAGGGAATACTTCAATTTTTATTGTGAGCTCTTAAGGGTTGTCTTTATGTTTTTCTTTTAAATGCTCAAATTTTGGAAATCTATATCCAGTTAACTAAAAATCCACTTCTTGCAGAGTCTGGTAAAATACCACCTGGAAAGGCTTGCAGGGTCAGGTGACTAACAGATCTGACAGAGGCAATACCCTAGTCACTGCAGGGCATCAGTAGTCCTGTGAACCTCGCATCTTGCTGCAGCCTCCCTTCGCAGCGCACTCTGCCAGTCTCAGGCATCCTCACACACCCATGGCCTGCCTGGCATTTTTGTTGAAACAGGAATCAAAGTGTCAAATTTACTTCATTAGGAACTTGGGAAACACTTTTCTAAACAAAAAAGTGTAAATGGTACTTGATTTTAAGGCATCCTTTAAAAGATTGTTTAATTCCGACCATCCGATGTTATTTATAACATTGAAGGTAGGTATAATAAACACTGTAGGAGGCTGGGAATTTAGCTCAGTGGTTCCATCACCTGCCTCACAAGCGCAAGGTCCTGAGTTCAATCCCCAGTACCAAACAAACAAACAAACAAAAATAAACACTGTAGGAAATACTATTTTCTATACGTTAATCTAAGCAAAGATCATACAGAAATATTTTTTCTGAAAGTTAATTCCCAAGAAAAATGCATCTTCTAACAGGATGCAATGATGAGAGAATCAAAGAATTGATTGACACTGACCCTTAGGAAATAAGCACTAGCGGGCGGTTTATAGAAATTCTATGCGCTTTGATTTAAGGAATGGTACCCCTGATTATCTTGTTTCCTACTCCATCAAAACCTTGCGCATTCCCGTTTCTTACTTCGGATATGGCACTAGACACATTTCTACACAGGACAGCATTAGAAAGGTCATGGCTGGGCTGGCGGGGGGGTAAGATAGTCCCAAATAGACTAAATCTGGACAAGACAGAAGACAGTCTCTTTAAATCTTTAAGTACTGGGAAACTGGTGGAAATGAGATGGGAACAAAGAAAGAGTGATAGAGATGATGTACCTAGGTAAGAAGATCCCCACTCTGACACAGAATTACTGATTTCCACGGTCTGCAGAGCAGGGGACGTAGAAGCTGGCGGGCTTGGGGCACTGTGTGGGAACAATGTCCCTCAGGAAGACGTGGTGGGCTGTGCTGCTGCCAACAGGATGGGTACCCGCTTGGAGCCACCCTCCAGCCCCAGCGAAGACCACAGTGTCGGACCCCAGGGGACACCACGAGGGCTCTGATGCAAGCAGACTCATACATCAGTCTGTTCCGTACTAACAGCAGGAAACTCCATGCTCAGTTTACTGTTCCAAAATGTGAAGTCTAAAGACAGCCCTGAGGGCTTGTGGTGCAGCTCAGTGGTCGGGCGCTCATCTAGCAGGTGCAAAGCACTGGATTTGATCCCCAGCACCACAAAAGCAAACCAAACCAAACCAACTTTGATTTACGCACTTTCATGTATTCCTCAGTGCTCCAGACATTCACTGCTCTTTCAGCTATAGTTAATATGCTGAATTTTCTACTTTCCTGGGCCATACACTTTCTATTAAATATCACTTCATAATAAAATTTTTTTAACAATAAACTTTAGTTATCTGGAATTCAGAAATCTGGCCCTTACCTGAAATAGAAAGAGGAGTAAACACTTCTGAATTTGTGGGCAGAATGAAAACAAAGAGAAATCCCTGAATTAAAAGTCTTGCATTTTTCTCCCTTTAGCCCCTCATTTACGACATTACAGGCCTTTTTGCTTTTGTTTTTGATTTTTTTTTTTTTTGGTACTGGGGATCAAACTCAGGATCTTGTACTTGCAAGGCAGGCGCTGGAACCACTGAGCTAAACCCCCAGCCCTTTGCTTTTGTTTTTTGTGGTGCTGAGAATCAAAGCCAGGGCCTTGCAAATGTTAGGCAAGTGCTGCACCTGTGAGTTACACCCTCAGCTCTTACTGGCCTGTTTCAATCTATACAGCTGGTGGTTCACAGCAGATTAAAGTCTGTCCTAAATGGGACTAGGGCAGGGAGAACTGGAGGGAAGACAGTTCTAGGAAAAACTGTCAGTCCAAATGAAAAAAGAAACTAAAAGCCAGACATAAAATTATATTACTATGCAGCACACAATGATTTTTAGTCAGAAAGATGAAACTGCATTATGAAAAAATGAGTGAAATTATCAAATTTAGGTATGGGTGTTGAAATGGTTACCTTTATAAAGGGGCGGCACTGAAGAACCATGTTTCAATTACCTAGGATTCCCCTCTGCACATCCAGAAAGTGTCAGTCAATGGATTTCGTAGCCCTTTAGGATCTTTTCAAGTGATTCAACTTCAAGAAAGGGTATTTTTAAATACACAGACAAGTCATCTTTAAATTCTCAACTGCTTTCTAATAGTCTCAGAGAGCAGTTATCAGAGCTCAAAATCAGGAAGAGATCTCTTGTATTCAAATCCTGGCTTTGCCACTTCCCAGCTCTGCCCTGAGGTGCGTTATTTACCTTCTCCATGTCTCAGTTTCCTCATCACTAACACAATGGGTGTATACATCTCCTAAGAAGTGTTTTGAGCCAGGCACGGTGGGGGTTGCCTGTAATCCAGCACCCAGGAGGCTAATACAGGAGGATCATCTTGAGTTCAAGGCCGGCCTGAACTACGTAAGGGAGACCCTGTCTCAAAAAACCAAAACAAACAAACAAGAAAAGAAAAATGTTTTGAACAGTGCCTGGCATATGGTAAGTTTGGCATATCAAGGAGTTTGTGCATGCAAAGCAAATGCTCTACGACTGAGCTGCACCCCATTCCTACAAGGTTTACTTCACTAAATCTCCTCACAAGCCTAGGAAATACAGGCAACATTATCCCCACTCTACAGGCGCTTTTTGAGGCTCAGAAACTGAAGCACCTGTCCATGCACAGACGGAGGGAGGAAAAGACCCAGGCACCCAGGCTGTGACCCCGGCTTGTCCTGTTTTCTGCACCACGTGGTTCTCCGAACATGACTGCAGTGTGACAGTCAGCAGACCTGAGCTCTTGCCCCGGGGAGGGTAAGGGTTTAACAAAGAATATTATTTTACTGAGCTAGAGGGCAGAGGGGGCTCAAGGGAAGAACAAATATGCTTGAAAGAATTTGAGGTCAAGTAAAATAAGTATCAGAATGAAATAGGTTTTAGAACATATTTCAATATAAAAATAACTATAACTTCATTTCTTTTACTACTCAGAGTTTGGTGTTGAACTAACCTATCATAAACCATTCTGCTCTGTGCTTATTACTTAAGGAGAAAAGTTGGGGACAGAGAAGAGCAAAATAGAATATTAATCAAGCACTGTTTCACTTTTCTGAATCAGTTTCCATTTAATGTGCATAAATATGACCAGAGTAATTCCATTTCCATATTACCACTAACTGCCGCATTTACCTACGCTAATGTATCAAATACTATACTTTCTATAAACTGCTGGTTCCAAAAACAAGTTCCCTTAATAGACTCATTCTCTATAATTACTGTTTCTTGCTCATTTACACACTGTGCCTATTTTCACAAGTGACTTGGAAATTCCAAGCTAACCGTGGAGCTGGAGAATATGGAGTCAATCCTCTACATCTTTGGTTAAGGAAGTCCTAGAAATTGTACAGAACCCTAATTCAGAGTCAGAACCTTACAGAGTACAGCTGCTTTCCTTTCTACTGTATTTACTCAACCAGGAAAAAAAAAACTTGCCAAAAATAATGCATCTTTTTGATACCACTTCTCCACCTCTTCCACAGATGACTAAAAGGAAGTGATTCACCCCCACAGGAAGCACCTTGACAGATGGGACTATTTTTCCTGCCCCCAGATGTACACTCAGTTCACCCTTATATAACCTGAAAGGAAGCATTCTCCTCCTTTCTTGGAACTTGTAACTAGTAGCTGATAAATAAAAAACACTGCAAGTAGATGTCTGCAAAAGTACTATAATTCTGTAATCTTGAGCCAGTGTTAAACATGGTTAATAACGAGTTACTTTAAACCTTATCAAGAGATTTTTAAAAAATCAAAAAAGAGAAATTATTTCCTGAAGGTTACTAAAAAAATCTAGCCATCAGTACATACCTACATGAAGAACTGCATTTTATTATTTATAGGGAAGTCTGTTTCCTTCACTATATTACCAGTTTCTTGTGGGCAACAATCTTTACATACAGAATACAGTAGCCATATAGTCTGGAAATGAGTAATGTCACTATTTTTTAACAGACTATGCTTTGATTATTTCTTCTGGAACATGCTAAAAATTAAGGTTTATTGAGTGAAAATCAGACTCACAAATAATCAGAGGCAATGCAAAGTGGACACACACACAAGGGCGAGAGAGATCTGAAATAAGGCATGGTACCCACTGCCACACGGCAGTGCCCTCAACTCTACACTGACCAATTTCTTGTTGTGGTACCAGGGCCTACACCCAGGGCTTCACTCACACGAGGCATGCGCTTTACCACTGAGTTACACCACCAGGCCTTTTTATTTCCTATTTTGAGACAGAGTTTCACTGAGTGGCGCAGGCTGATCTTGAACTTGGGACCTCCTGCCCGCACTCCCAGTAGCTGGGATTACAGGCTGGCACCATCACAGCTGGCTCCACTAAAGCATTTATTATGTTATTTTCACCTAAGTCTCCAGACTGTGCAGCCGGCCACCCTGTAGGCGCTTGATAAATGTTTCTTAAAGTATGAGCCATTATCTCTGACACTCCCAATCTTCTCTAGAATCAATGTTTTAGCTACCAACGTCACTGGTTACAGAGGCCACTGAGGAGGCAGTTGCCAGTCCTGGCAGAGCTACGAATGGAAATCCTGCCCAGAAACCATCTGATGACATCTATAAATAGACCTGAGAATGTACTGTATATATCCTGGCACCAGAAGGTCTGGTTTCAAAAATTTGCCGGAAATAAATAAGAATCACAGAATGACAAGGTCAAGCATATTTACTGCAGCATTACTCAGAAGACATATTGTGTAGTCCATTTTAGTGTCATCTAAAGAAACAGAAGAGGCCTAAAGAAACAGAAATTCAATAATTTCACTTTGTGGAAGAGGGAATGAGCACTCAGAGAAATTAAGGCATTATCTAACAAGGACTCACAACTAGGTAGTGGCCCAACCAAGTTACAACTCAGTGGAACAGAACTCAGTGGAAAACAAGAGCAGAGAGAGACCTCTTCCCAGAAAAACAAATGCCTTGCTACACGCTGACAGCCCTGGTGGCCCTCAGGGCTTCCATACAGGAATGCTGTGGGGCCGTGAGAGTGCTTCAGAGGCCTCCATACAGCCCCAGTTCCCGGGCTGACCGACTGCCCAAGGCTGCCAGTGTGCTTATCAAGGCTGCGAATCAGACTGGGTGCAGTCTGGAGGCACACGGTGCTTGGGTGCTTGTCATCGGGAGAAGCTCTCCAATGGGGGACGATGTATACAAAATGAGACTCAGGCCCAGGCAGATGAGTGGCCAGTGGGAAAGTGAGACGCAGTGCTGTTCACCCCAGGGGAGAACTGAGGAGCCCGGTTCTCAGGTTCTCTCTTCATCAGCCTTGCCTCGCTCTGGCCTCTTACCTCCTCTCTGCTCACGTCCATGTTCCACACTGCAATTCCGCCATCTGAGGAGCAGGAGATGAGCTGCCTTGTGAGCTGAAGGTAACACAGTGACTGCACCCTGTCACTGCAAACACACACAACAGTCACAGGTCTCAGGGCAGGAAAACACGAAACTGTCTTCATTTAAGCTTCATTCTCTTCCCGCATTCAAGTTAGCAAGTGGCATTTTACCACTGAGTATTTTACCACTGGGAGACTGGCTTATACCATAACTGCACCGGCATCCTACAGCTTATTATACACAATCGGACTTTCTCTAATACAAACACTACTGCTTTCAAGTCTGCCATTCAGAATTTTGAGACAGAGACAGAATATGGACTATGGTTTTCTAAACCAATCTCCATGACTTCTTCTGAATGCACAAAATGTATCTACTTGTTCAGAAACAAGGAACAGGGGTGTGACTTTCCTACTGCAACACAGTTCATATGAATAAGTAGGCACCATGAAGACCACTAGTACATGCACGCACACACGCATGGCACCCAGGCATGCGCTGATGGGTAAAAGAAATCTGCCCCCTTTCCGCAGGCTTCTCAGACCATTCTTCTGGATGATGCACAGGAAAAACTCCCAAGCCTGTGAACTTTATATACCTAATCTTTCCTTAGCTAAATTTCAACTTGATTCTGATTACAGTAAACAGCTACAGCCCAATCAACATGGAGAGAAGGAAAACAGGGAGAAGGGGTGCTCTTACTTTCAAGATCAGAAGCCAAGATCTTAAGTACTACAAAGTCAGACAATCAGTGAATAAGACTGTCAAACTGTGCATTACTTCTTAATGAAATGCATTTTAGAATTTAAAAAACCTTAAGCATCCAGTTCAAGAATAGCTTAGTGCCCCATTACATGCCTCCTGTGAGGCCGAAGTCCTGCCCCGCAGTCTCTAAGCCACACCTGTCATAAACACATACTACAGATGTGACTCCGTGGCATGAAACGGTGCCAGATGCTCTTTGGACCAAGGAAGAAAACCTGTGCTTTGTTTTGTTTGGGCTGCTGAATACATTCAGGACCCACAAAAAGCCATTAAAAGTGGACTTAGTCTTATGAAACTGCTGTGTCAAAACACAGGGTGTGGAGAAAGTCTGGATGGAAATACTAATGCTTCCTCCTGGCTCCTCGCACCCTCAGTTTCCTCCCCTACCCCACCAAAAGTCACGCACTGGTGGCCCTGAAGCAAGAGCGTCCGGCCTTTCCTGCCTCCGATGTCCCACATGATGATGCTGTTGTCAGATGCTCCCGAGAAGAGCAGCCGCTGAATAGGGTCCCACCAGAGGCAGGCAACACTACCTAGGGATTTGAGAGAGAGGGTGGGTTAAATACAACTCTGCATCAGGAAATGCACATCTGACAGCTGAAGTGTGAACTAGGACTCGCTGGGCCTTTAAAATCCTTCTCCCAAGTCACAGAGAGGACCTGGGATATCCCTTATCTGAAGCTGTAAGACTAGGGTTTTCAATTGTGCTTCAAACAACTTTGAATATGTACAACAATTTATAAAGACAGTTTTCCTTGTTCTGTATTAATAAATTATAAAGTAGCTATACATGACATGTTAGTTCAGAAGATGCTACTGAAGAAAAACGTTCCTGCTAGTAATACTCTGAGAAGCCAGTGGCGTTTACTGTGCTCATCGCACACAAGATGGAAACCTAGGTTATTCCATGTCTCGGGGACCCAGTAGGCTTTTAACTTAAGACACCTATAATTAAGAAAAGTAAATGTCTCAGAAAGAAAGCCTGCAGGTAAACCAAACAATGATGCCCAAAGAGCTTAGGTAAGAATCCAAGCTTTACACTTCCCACTATATCTTGGCTAGCTTATCAAATGTGATACCCTGGGAAATCTTTTTTTCTACAAATTTCTCCTTCAATGGACTTTGCATTGTTCATTGGTTATTATCTGCCTAGGAAAAATAATTTTTTTATAATAACAAACTTTAATTTTTTTATTTTTTGGTACTAGGGATCAAACTCTAGACCTTGCGCTTCCAAGGCAGGCACAGCACCACTGAGCTAAATCCCCAGCCCCAATTTTTTTATTTTTTAATAAATTTTATTTCATCCCATTCCCCCAGAATATTTTTGATTAACTGAACAAAACTGAATCAGTTACACAAGCTACTAATAATTTTGTAGGTATACAAAAACTAATAAAGTCATAATCAGAAGCTCTTCCAAGATAAAAATGAAAACAGAAGTACTTTATACAATTAGCTTGAAGAGTCAATTTTGCATGAATTCTGACTGCTTAATCCTATGCACTACATACTGCATCTGGAGCCTAAGAGGACATAAACACAGTCTTTTCCATGGAAACCTCAAAGCAGCCATAGAGACCATTCTGCCCTCAGTAACTCAGAGGAGACTTAAGGGCCTGGGGGTTGTAGGAGGGTTAGTCAGAAATGGAACATGGCTTCCTCGGGCTTCTGCTTTTTGGCCCAAATCTATTCTAACCTGCTATTCTACCTTCTTCCTTTTCTTCTACAAAGTTCCTGATCTGCTAGTCTATTTTACCTGAGTGGGTTAGCTAGAACATACAGCACACATTTAAGTTTTTGTACTAATAAGTCCATCACTAATTCTTTCAAATCTTCAATTTCTCACTCTAAACCAGATGGCCTCAAAGTTTTTAATTTTTAACTCACACCAGAACTTGACTTTTAGGACGTGAGGACAAACTGTTTGCATTATAGCTTTGTGTTCAATGATTGAACACACTATTACACACGAGTACACAGCAAGTTACCCAATATGGTCAACAAGATCTTAAAGCCCCTCCACAGAACCCTCAACTCACTGCACTACAGAAACAAGGACATTTTGATCCAGTCATTCATTTCCCCCAGTCCCTAGCCAGGGTGCTCCCTTAGTATCAGGCTGAAGCAGTCCACACATTGCTTCTAATTGGATTGATCTAAGAGGTTTTGTTTAATGTCCTACAAATGTCCTATTATGATGATGATGATGATGATGATAATGACAATTCGTCCAAAGGTCTCACTATTTATAATAAATTTTAAAGATGTTAAGAAAACAATAATTTAAAACAGTAAACAATAAAGTATTATCTGATCAAACAATTTAGAAGAATTTTTTGACCACATGAAATGGAATCCAACACCTTACCTTCTCTTAGTTTTTTCTCTAAATCCCATCAAACTGAAGACTGACAGAATCAGAGCCAATCATGAAGACCATGAAGAGTTGCTCACTCATGAAATCACAAAGGTGAGAACTGAATTGCAATGCTTAAGTTAGATGAAAACCTGTCCGGTGATCACAGCCTACCTTCATGTCCTTTGAGGGTTGTGATAACTGAACACGTGCTCTGCTCAAGCTTCAGCAGGGTGATCTGTCCAGAATAATCACCAACAAAAGCGTACTGAGTATCAAAGTCGTATCTGAAGAGAAGCAGTCAAGGACATAGGACACGACTCTCTGGCAAAGTCTTCCCATAAAAAACATGGCAGCTTCGTCATGGTTAGAATATAGAAATCACACATTTTAAACAGAATATGCACAAACCTAAGAGTGTAACAAGAAAAGAAGTGCTCAAAGGAAAATCATACAGAAAACACTGAAAGTTAAAAATCAAAACACCTGTAATTATGAGGCAAGTTAATATTCATTCATTCATTCAACAAAAACTCACTCAGTTCCTCTTAGTGTACTAATAAACAGGCTTTAAAAGAGCTAAGAGCTGGTAGTGAAGACAAACAGATAGTTATAATCAAGTAATAAAACAGTCAAATTGTTAAATAATGAAAACAACAAGAAAACTCTGGAACAAAATGGCCTTTTAGGAAATACTTCTAAAAATAACGACAACAAATACAGGGCATGAACCCATCTTTCTTTTGGCCTAGATAATTTAGCTTTAAATGAAGAGGAGGATTTGCTTTAAATTACTATGGGCAGTTTAATCATCCAAAAGCCAGTTACCTGCGGTAGAAGTAAACTTCCATTCAAAATATGTTAACTATTGGTAAAAATTCATTACTTTCTCAGTTTGTGCCCATAAACATTTAAGGAAAACCAGTAGTCTATACACAATAGGATAACTCTATTTAAATAGGATAACTGCTACTTTTCCAAAAGACAAATCAAAGAAACATCACAAGCCAGGCTATTACAATTCTGTGACATGTTCTATAAATCCATTATTAGAGCCCTCGCATGTGACAGAAATACTAATAAACACAACGTGCCTGAGTATTTTTTCTTTATTTGACCTTAAAGTGTAGGGTACCATTTTAAATGCTTGTTTTCAATATCTCATGCTGTTCATTCATCTGAAGTAAATATTTGTCATAAAAACTCTGACAGAAAAAGAATTTTACTGTGTGAAACTACCCCAGGGCATTTGCCTGGTGTTGACAGTCTTGATCCTGCCATCACTGGAACACAAAGTCACCAGAAACAGCCGGGAGCAGGTGAGCTCTGTGAGAAACAAATTCCACACAGTAGTGGGGAATTTTTAAGGTAGTAATTTTTAACATTTTGGGGACCCTAAAGTACCTCTGAGATTATTATAAGGGTGACAGACACTACACTGATACATGCACATATGTATACACACACACAGCCTGAAACAAAAGTTATATATAAAATGTCTTATAGCTCATTCATGAACCCCACAGCCTATATATATATTTTCTCGTAGGATCTGCAAATAATCAATTACCAGAAGATCAGTTCCTTTTTCCCTTCTTCATACAATGAAGTTTTTCAATTTGCAATGCAAAGGAATAGAGGGAGAGGGTGCTTCGGGTTTTCCCTAATTAGTATTTTAAAATGACTGTCTCCCAGCAGAGAATAGCAAATTCATCTAATTTTATTAAATCTGTTTTATACCAAAGAAAAGCAGATTCAGAAATTCTTGAATTTTAGATGAAACATGGAGGAATCATTCACTCAGTCTTTAGAGCTCGGTTAACCACTGATGATGATCAGATCCCAAAGTAACTACTGATAGAGGGCTGGCAGGAGCGGCGTGAAGGATACTGGAGACACGAGGCCCAGGAGGAGAAGAGGTGCCGGCCCAGCATGCTCCCGCTCCGCACACACATCCAGCTCAAGCACTTGTCATGGCCAGTGCTGATCACCCACTCGGTGGCCGCGCTGAAGACGATGGCAGACACCCTGTTCTGGTGAGCTGCAAGGAGAGAAGGGGAGTCTGTAATTTGGGAAGAAATGTGAACCTCAGAAGTAATTCCCCATGCGGGGACAATCAGTCTCCACCTGGTGTCCCCAGTCACACCGTGGAAACAGCTACCCTCTGCGGACCCGCACGGAGGCGATCATGAAAGAGAAATGTTCAAGATGGATTCAAGGAACAGATCAGAGAACTGGTTTTTGTTCTTTGGGTTTTGTCTTGGTTTGTTTTATTCGTTTGTTTCTTACTTTGTTCTAAAAACCCTTAACTATCGCTGGGCATGACAGTGTGTGCCTGTAATCCCAGCTCTGGGGAGGCAGAGGCTGTCATGAGTGGAGGCCAGCCTGCACTACACAGTGAGTTCAAGTCCAGCCCGAACTACATAAAGAGACTCTGTCTCAAAAACCAAACCAACCAACCAAACAAACAAAAACCCTAACTACAATGAGTTCCATATGGAAGGCAGCAGTCTTTTCTTAACAGAGCAATTTTTAAAAACCTCCTTCAGAGATTGACCCCTTGGAAAACACAGGCATTGTAAAGAACACTTGCAGTTTTCTGTAATTAAAAAAGTGACAAAACATTTTGTTTCTGCAATAAGTTTTGTGCGTAACTATTACTTATAAAGACCAAGCATTTTCAAAGATCTCTACTCCAAACTAACAGCTGTAAATGAGGAAGCTCTTCTGTCTATCATCTAACTTCTGAAATATTTTTAGTTCAATTGTAAGCCACACCAGGGCAGTGATCTGACTCTACTTCATTGGGTACGGGACCTTGCATGCAGCAGGTGTTTCATCAATGACCAATCTGATGAATGAAGTCAGGCTAGACAGGGAAGGCAAGGCCTTTGCTCTAAGCTATACAGACTGCTTTGGGAGAACCAAGGGACTCTCCCCAAAAGTGTGTGGACGTCAGGTGAGCCAGTGCTAGGTGCGATGTTGTGCAGTTAAATACTCATGAAGGATCCTGAGGCTTAAAGCATGCTCTCCAGTAATTAATCTTTTTTTTTTCGGGGGGGGGGGTACTGGAGATCAAACTCAGGACCTTACGCTTGCCAGGCAAGCACTGTGCCACTGAGCTACATCCCTGGCCCTCCAGAAAATTAATCTTAAACTCAAGTAAACCAAGTCCCGGCTAAGGAGTCAGTGACAACTGATGTACTGATGTTCTGGGGCTCGGTGGTTTTTCTTTTTCCTGTTTTAATGCTATTTCTAATTTCCATAAGCACAGGGTAGGTATACACCCATTTTTAGATAAGAAAACGGAGATGCAAATATTAAATTCACTGACTCTATGCCCAGTCTTGCAAGTAATAGATTAACTTGGTTTGTCTGGCCCCAAACTTTTTCCACTTAAATCTGCAGTTGTCAAACTCGGGACAGTGGCAATATTTATATGAGCTTGTGGCAAAGATACTGGAGTGAGCAGTCCATGATCTCCTCAGGAAGACCTGTCCTATTCCTAAGACTACATCCTTTCGGCTATTTTATTTTATAAATGTTCTTTCTTTTATGAAATTACAGTGAAATATGGCAACGCTTATTTTGCTTCATTTTTCAAAAAACTGACACTTGGCAAAAAAGAAAAACTGGCACGCTTTAAAGCCCCTAAAAAAACCTGACAACCAAAATATAGATACAATGAAACATGTAAATGAGAAATAATTTGAAAAAGAACTTAATGGCAAATAAAATAACTTATTAAGGAATTTGGGTTTTGGCAAAAAAAAAATTAGGCACATGATAAGAGATCTCTAAATTACTAGATATATATTTAATAAAAGGTTTACAGATTCTTGATTTTTTTTAAAAAAGATACACTTGCAATGACAACTGAGAGTTCAAAGTTTTTTCAGTTGTTGTAATAACACCAAGTATACATTATTCAACAATGCAAGACTGTTACTCATTGTCACAATACAGTTTCCAGGAAAGAAATATCAATTTCAAGTGCATGGTTATGACTGCATCGCTCATCTCTTAAATTAGAATCAGGTTAACAACATCTAGGGAAAAGCAATTTAGTTTTACTGAAGTTCAAAAATGTTTTTCCTGTATCCTAAAATTCACCAAGACCAAAATTTACCAAGATAAACTACACGTAACTAACACATCTAGATTCTAATTTCACCTTTAAGCACAAGCCTGAAAAACAAAATTTGAGGCTGTTATGCCTCTGGCAAAATTTCTGGGAATCAGCTAATTGGTCTGTCTGGAACCCACAATTTAATCAAATTATTTGGCTCTGCCATTTCAGTCTAAAGTTAACACTGGAAACTAGCTTTTGTTATATGTAAAAACATCTCAATGCACAATGAAGAGTTAAAAACCAGAAAAAAGGTGTGTATGCCACAGGTGTTCCAAAGCAAAATACTTGTAATTCAATTTAAAAATATAGACAATCCCAGGAAATATGGTCACAGTCATGAGCATTCATGAAAGATGACTTTGGTCAATGTAATAAAGCTTACATAATTTTCAAATTGATCATTTTTAACTATCAACCTGGCAAGAAAAAAATTGTGAACACTTAATGAGTAGGACCTCTCAACCACTATTTATGGGGTTGTAAAAATTTACACTACTGCTCAGAAGCAGTTTGCACAACAGATCTAGAGCGGTGGTGGCGAACCTATTGCACACGTGCCGCACTGGGCTGTTTGCAGCATTGAAAACTCTAAAAGGTTTGCCATCACTGATCTAGAGCATTTAAAAAAACTTTTTAAAATTTGACTTATTCTACTTGTAGCAATTTGTCTTAAACAGAAATAATCAGAATTATGGAACTAGAATCAGAGTAATAGCCCAGGATCACACACATTCATGCACAGCTATAAACTGTATACAGATATTCTCCTTTAACAACCTCCTGTGTAATAACTGCTAGACACAGGAACGTGACAAGCCTTGAAGCCATATGGTGGCTTCTTCTATGGTACAGTATTGCAATTTTTGCTGTTGGTACTGTACAGTAGTTCTGTAGTTTTATATTCTGTTATACATTGCAGTACTGCATGTAAGAGTTATGCAAATAAAAGCAAAGTTGGAATTTCCTTTGTCCTGAATATTGTAATGCACATATTACATACGATTCCTTACTCAGTGACCAACTAATTTAACGACCTAGTTGCAGGAACGCAACTCAGTCATTAAGCGAGGAATCTCTGTACAGACTCACAGATAAAAATACACAAACATACACACAAACATACCTACTGTATATAGCAGTGTTATTAAAAAATGAAAGCACTGTTTATGTCTAGTAATAGAAGAATGGTTAAATTAAATCTCATACATGTACTCAATACACAAAATTTTCAATGTTAATGAACAGGTAAGAATGGTAAATAACTCTGTCTCACATAATTGAAGTAACTAAACTAAAAAGTTAATGTGAAATGGAGATGAGGTTCTAATTCTGTGGGTGTACATCTACATGTATCTATCTGCAAGCAAGTGCACAGGTGTATCATACTTACCTGGGTAGGTCTTGGTAAAATTCATTTTATTAAAATCTTCAGAAATGTGAAATTCCTAAAAGTAAACATATGCAATAAGAAAATAGTTATATGTTTTTAAATAAGAGAAACTGAACTTTCAAACGAAGTAAAGTCCAATTATGGCTGTCGTAAGATCTGAAACCTAAGACGAGCTATTTATTTAGGCATGACATGAATTGCTCCTTTCAGCAAATCCATTCATGGCCATTCTTTGAAGGGGCAGACAGACTCCAATAAAGAAATAAAAGAAATACATAAAGTGCTGTTGATCAGCACAGCATTTTTATCCAGTTCTTCCTCCACAAGTGAACGCCATATATATGTAGGTTCTCCCTCTAAAGTACAGATCTTTGGTCTCTTGGGGAAAAAAAAAAATCCAAGATGATGTATAAGGGGCAGAACTGCAAAGGCCCATTACCAACAGGGCTCACAGCTACAGAAAACACATGTCCCAGGGGATCATGGAGGTTTAGCGGGGCGAATTCATACATATTCAATGTAAGAGATACTACCAAAACTTAAAATTTATAGACTTTGGGTGGTTCTCTTTTTATACTTTTTTTTTTTAAAAACAAAAGTTTTTCTATAGGCAATGCAGTTTATAACTTGGAAAAAATTAAAAGTACATACTTTTTTAATGAAAAAATAAGCCTCAGCATAAAATTGAGAAAAAAATAAAACTGAAAGCAAAGGCACTGATTAAGATTCTATCGATGGATACTAAATTGTTAAGTTCTTAAGTCTCTGGGTAACATGGACAGTATGTTTATGGATGACTAGAGGAGAAGTACAGACCTCTTGATCACCATCTTCCTTTGCCAAAAGCAGAACTACATCTGCACTGTATGTACTAATCATAGTTGGGTGCAAGGTCACTGAAACAACCGCTAACTGCTGCTGACGTGGATTGACACTGTTCCTTTCCACTGAAGAGCTCTAAGAGCTTGTGCACTGCTATGCAACTGTGAAGTCTATGCTTTAAGCAGAACCCATGAGAAGGGTCCCTGGAGAGAGAAATGCAGGACCACCCCCCCCCCGAGAAATTACTTGGGGTTTGCACTCAATGGCTTTGTTTTATACTTTTGCGCACTTCATCCTGATATCCCTGTGAAGTTCTCAAGGGCCAAGAGGAACTGTGGCATTCACTACCACACAGTTCATTTATAGCAGTCCTTAACACCTGCCTCCTACTGTGTACGGAACAGGGAAAGGAGACTTTACCAGAACCCCTGCAGTGGGTCCTGGTCTCCTGTGAGCCAAGACAGACCAAGGCGAATTAAAGAATAAAGACAGGAAACGAGACTCAGAGAAGAGGCTGGGTTCTAGGCCTGATCAATGCTGCTCTGAGCACCGAAAACAAAGGCACCCCAAGCTTGCCACTATTTATTGGGTTCATAGAGAGTAACTGATGACTCAGAGGGTGGTGGTAATAAGAGGAAGTACCAGATGTCTGGGAGGGTGGCAATAATCCTAAATTGACAAGGATCTTATGCTGATGAGGATCTCAGGTCAATGAGGAACTTATGTTGAGGAGGATGGTAAGAGGAGGAAAGACTTTCTTATAACAGTAGGTGGGATGAGTTAAGCTGATAAGGAATTTGTCCCTCCCAAGTGAAAGCTTTCTCTTACTACTCGGTTCTCAAGTCAGGATGTCTTCAACTGATGAAATCCTGCCCTTGAGCGTCACAGCATCATGGGACCACTGAGGTCTCAGCTGTGACCAGAGGCAAAAAAGGAATTATATTTCGGCATGTCACAGCCGGCTTGCAGGCAAGAAGGCCAGGCCTAATCATAATTTAATTGTGAAATGATTTTTTCCCCAAAATTATGTAGAATGGTTCCTGATGCTGCTGCACAAACTGCTTGGGCAGGAGGCTGTCCTCCCTCCTGGCTCTTTCCTCCTGGCAGTTAAACAAAAGCAAGGTTTCTTCAGTTTAAAAAGCAAAACAATAATAACAGTAAACTCTTAACTATACTACAACTTTCCCTGTCCCCTTCTCAGCCAAAAGCTCCCTAAAGATCAGCCCATGCTGGCTACCCTCCAACTGCCCCCTGCCGGTCACCCTTCACCCCACTGCCACCTCTGCATAGTCTTTTTTTTTTTTTTTTTGGTACCAGGGGTCGAACTTGGGTCCTTGCACTTGCACAGCAGGCGCCAAAACCACTGAGCCAAATCCCCGGCCAACTCCACATAGAAAAGGCTCTCCCTGCCACCACCAGCTGCCTTCACACGACTGCCCTGGTCTCAGCCTTGCCTTGCACCTTGTTTGTAGTCCCCTTCCCAAAACTCCCTCCTCAGGCTTCCAGCGCTGCCCTCACTGTCTGGCTGACCTTCCTGCCATTCTGCCCCTTTTGCCTCTGACTCTCCTGTGGGCTTTCAGTCCTGACTCTCCCTTAACAACATCCATGTTCCTCAGCGAATATGGGCTGGCTCTCCACTCTTCTCAATCCACCTCCTACCCCTAGTCCACGGCAGCGACGGTGTGGTTCCCACAGCATTCTCCACATGCAGAGAAGGGCCAACACCAGCCCAGAGCAAACCCTTGGGGTTCAGGCTCGCTCACCCAACTGTCAAAACTGAACTCTTGAAGCTGTCACCTTTGCTCTGCCACCAGACCAGTGTTTCTTAATCTCAAGGTGGCATCCTGAAACAGCCTACCTGGCACCCCAACTTTCAGCCTTACCCCTCAAAACCATCTTCCACATGCTGGTACCCTGAGCTAAGAGAAACCGGAAACCTGATCCCCTTGCTTAATGCTCTTCGGTGGCTCCCCTCGCTGCAGTTTCCCCAACACATTCTGCCCTAAGGTTCATCTAGAGGCCTTGCTAAAACACAAGGCCCCAGGTCACTGTGTTCCCTCTCGCATGCTGGCCCGCCCTGGAGCTGTAGGGGGTGCTCTTTTCTTACTTTTACTTGGCCCAAACTCGCTCTGCAGAGCCTACTTCTTTTCCTACCTTTAATAAAACTTCACTCCTGTGAAAAAAATAAATAAAATAAAATGCCCAGGCTCCTCCCTAGTGAAGGTGAAGCTGTGGGTCTGAAGTGGCGCTGGAGTATGGATCTCACCCAATTCCCTAGATAACCTGTATACCCACACAAGTTTGGGAATCAGCTTGTAAGTAGTCTGACTTCCTCAGCACCACACTCGAGGATCCCATCTCCCCCTCTACCCTGGCTGCCGCCCCTAAATGCTGGCTGGAGAAATTCAGGACTGGGGTCTGGCCCTGTCTCCCCTCATTTCCTCCCCAAGTGATCACAGGAGTCCTCAAGGCTGGAAGTGACTTGCGTGCTGAGGACTCCAACGCAGGCCGTCCCTGTCCCTCGGGCTCCAGGTCTGCCTAGCCATCTGAGTGCCTTGCTGGTACCTCAAACACTTGGCCAATTCCTCACTGCCCCTCTTCCCTCCAGCAGGGACACCACTGTCCGCCCAGTTCCTCAAGCTGAGGACTCCTGCCCACACACCCAAGCTAACACACATGAATTCAGGATGCAACTCAAATCCATCTACTCTGTCACCGTCACCGAGCCCTTCTCCGAGGTTGCTACAACAGTCTGACTCCACTCTCGCTGCCTTCAAGTCATTCTCCAAAAGCAGTCACACCAATCTTTTAAAAGTGTGAATTATATAATGTCATTCATCTGTCAAAAACCCTGTAGCAGCTTCTCACTGAACTTACAGTAAAATTTCAAACTTGATCCAGACCTACAAGGCCCTTCCTGACCTGGCCTCAGCACCTGCTGTCCCTTCTTGTCACTCAGTACTGCCTAGGCATAAAGACCTCCTCCACACCCTTGAACACACACACAAATCCATCCCAAGCCTTCACAAAGCATTCGCCTCTGCAAACGTCTCTGGCTTTCTACCTCAGGACTCTGTGACAAGGGTGAAGACAATCAAGAACAATCTGTGACAAAATGTCGCTGGGATAATTAGCTATCCACATGCAAACAAATGCATATGGAACTCTCCCTCAAATTGTATATAAACATTAACTCACAATGGAGCAAAGATCTAAACGTGAACACTAAACTATAAACTTCTTAGAAGAAAACCTAAGTATAAACTATCATTTATTCCTATGAAAAGTGGTACAGGTGACCCTGTACCAGGCAATAGTTTCTTAGGTCTTCTATCTAAAGCACAAACAGCCCCCCAAAAGTACTTTATTAAACTTTAAAATCAGGCAAAGGACCTAAACAGACATTTCTCCAAGGAAGACACACAAAAGACCAACAGGCTTAATGAAAAGATGCTTTGCATCGTTAGTCATTAGAGAAATGTAAGTTAAAACCACAATGAGGTACCGTTTCACAGCCACCAGGATGGCCATAATAAAAACAAAATAGGGCCAGGGATTTAGCTCAGTGATTCCGGTGCCTGCCTCGCAAGCGCAAGGTCCCAAGTTTGATCCCCGGTCCCAAAAAATAAAAAGAAAAACAAAATAAACCCAGAAAGTAAGTGTTGGCAATGATGCGGAGAAACTGAAACCCTCATACACTCCTGGTAGGAATGTGAAATGATGCTGTTATCTTGGAAGTTTGGTGGTTCTTTAAATGTTAAACGTACCAATTCCACTCCTACATATACCCAAATGAATTGAAAACATACATTCCTGTTATACATGAAATTTACACATGATGCTCACTGCCACAGTATTCCCAATAACCAGAAAGTGAAATAATTCAAATTTCTATCAACTAATGAATGGGTAAAGTGTGGCTTATTGCTAAAAGAATACTATTCCACCACAAAAAGGAATGAAGTGACTAATTCAAGTTATAGTATGGATGAACCTTGCTAAGTGAAAGACAACAGACACAAAAGGCGACATGTCTCACACTGTATAAAATGTCCAGGACACACAAATCCCCATATTCAGAGAGTGCCAGGGGCCGAGGGAGAGGGGAGCGGGGAGTGATTGCTAATGGCTATGAGGTTTCTCCGGGGGATGGAAGGATGTTTTGTAGTTAGAAATTGGTAATAATTACCTCGTTTTTAGTATATACCACAAAACCACTGAACTGCACACTTTAAAACGGTGACTATTATAGTATATGAATTATTTAAGGAAAAAGTAAATATATGCATAAAATTAGACCCATAAAACACCTGTCCAAATTAGATTTAAAATTTCAGCATCCGGCCAAAGGTAATGCGAGGAGCAAGGCCTTACACTGCCTGAGTTGCGTCCTGCACCTCCTCTGCTTCACACAGACACAGTGACAGAGACTAAAAGACAGGAGCTGAGAAGGCTGTGCTTTGTGGACAGCTGGAGCACCAACCAGGACAACCATTGGACAGGGACAGCATTCTGAGCTCCACGAGATCGCTTACAATTAAGCATTAATTAAAAGTAACATGTTTAGGCTTAACGTGTTTTGAGACAGGGTCTCACTCTGTAGTTCAGGCTGGCCTCAAACTTGCAGGATCTTCTTGCTTCAGCCTCCTGAGTGTTAAGTTTGAACAGTCTAAAATCAGTGAACACAGAGAGGTCAGGACAGACTCTAAGGAAAACATTCTGTAAGCTACCTACCATCATAGCTCCGTTATCCTGGCCCACAAATATCCGTCTGCTGTCGTGATGGTAAGCCATGGTACAGCAAGGAGCTGTTGGAAAGATAGAGACCACATTACCAGCACAGCTCAGCATTTTAAGTTGTTCAAAGTGCATTATTATTACAAAGAGCTACATGATAAATGTTTTAAAATGAGGGCAAATTTGCTTTATGAAAAACATTATGTAAACTGAAAATATAATTAAAGGTGTCTCTGTAGTTTAAAATCTTAATTCTATACATCTTCCCAATTATTTTGGGGGGTTTTGTTTTGTTTGGGTTCCGGAAATCGTACTTAGGACCTTGTGTTTGCCAGGCAGGCATGGTGCCACCCACTAAGCTAAATCCCCAGCCCCTCAATTATTTATATAATGCTCGGTAAAGTGAACAAGCTGATGCCTCATCTGACTGAAACTCCAACCACTCAGGAGAGTCATTCTGCCCCTGCCACCAATCCCTACCAGAGTCAATGAGTAGCAAAGAGGGGCTCCCAGCACCAGAATTCTCACTCCATGGCACATGCAAGCAAGCTAGGAAAGCCACCCTGGGATTGTTTTCCCCCCAGTGGTTAAAAAAAAAGGTTCCCCTTCACAGTGACACACACAGTGCAGTCTGCAGCAACTGGAGTTAAGAGAAGTGGACAGGTTCTTTGCGCACCTGGGAAAGCTCCCGCAGCTTCTGCTACACACATCCCTCCTCGGCCTACCTATCCCTCTTCCAGAAAGCAAGGGCCACAGAACAAGTTTCAGAAAGGAGAAATTCCAAATTGTCTCTTGCTAAAATTCAGAAAAGAAGCAATAAATGAAATACTTGCAAAAAGAAATGTTTGGATTCATTCTGGACTAAAAAAAATCTTAACCAACAATAGAAGAACCACAACAAGAAAATGCATGCTGGTAACAAAACAAAAAGTGAACTTGACTTTGCTTTCAAATAATACTCATAAAAAAGTACAAGAAGATGCGTGTGGTGATGCACACCCATAATCCCAGTACTTGGGAGGCTAAAACAGGAGAGTCACAAGTTTGAGGCCAACCTGGGCTGCAGAGCCAGGCCCTGTCTCAATAAACAAACAAATAAATAAACAAAGTAAAAGAAAAACATCTTCCTAGTGAGGTCACCATTTGAAAATAGTTTATAAAGTTCTCTTGGTACAATGGGGTGATATTCTTTGCCACAGGAAGTACTGTAAATTATAATACTGGATTGAACCCAAAGAAAAAAACACAGGTAACAGCATGGGCAGACCAGAGAGGGGCTATTTTCAGTTGTACTCAAGAACTATATAGTTGAAAGATAGGTACTGAAATTGTGTACAAACAATGAGGACTGACTTAAATCTGCACACCACTATCAACCATATTGATGTTTATAAAGAACAATCATGTCTAAGACTTAGAACCACAAACACATATGCATCTTTATATAATCAAAATGCTTTCATTATCATGCATAAACAAATCAATATGCTTAGATTTGTTATCAGTTTTACATGCTTATCAGCTGGTACTAACTCTTGTTGTATTAGTTCTAAACTTTTCAATTCCTTGATCCTTAACCACATAACCAACTATGCAAAATTCCTTTGTGTAAAAATTTCAACATTTAAAAAAATAAAAAAGCCTCCCTTCTTTGTTTTGTATATAGTGATGTCCTGGCTTTTTCCCTAGATAAGGGTTTCTACTGAGATAAGCAATTTAAATTTCAAAAAGAAGGGGAAGAGCTGGATAGTCAGAGTCTTATAAACAAGAAAAACACTGATCATCCTTCAATCAGTGGACTTTTAAGAAGACATTACTACAATCTAAAATCATATGCTTAAAGCTCTGGCCAGAGAGCCAAATTCAGACCACTGCATGCTTTGTTAATAAAGGCTTTGGTTTTCTTGGAGCACAGCCAGACACTTCATTCATGTACTCTTTACGGTTGCTTTCATGCCACAGTTGCAAAGTGAGCAGTCGTCAGACTCTTTGGCCCACAGAATCTAAATATTTACTGTCTGGCTCTTTACACCAAAAACCTTTGTAGACCTACTGTACTTTGGGAGTTACCAACAGGCGTGGATTACAATTCCAACTACAAGCAATCTACTTAATCCTTCTGGCCTCAGTTTCTTCACCCACAAAATGATAAAAATATGGTCTACTTTACATAGCTGTCACGATGATTTCATAAAAGTATATTATCAAAGAAAGGCCTGAGCACATAGTAAAACAGAAACCAAGAGTCATTTTTCTTCAGCTACAGCAGATTCTAAAGTGATTTTAGTTAAGTGAGGTAGTTATGGAACAACTAAACAACCTAAAGCAACATACAACACAAAGCTTTTGCAGGGCCGGGGATTTAGCTCAGTGGTTTTGCCACCTGCTGCGCAAGCGCAAGGACCCGAGTTCAAGCCACAGTACAAAAAAAAAAAAAAAAAGCTTTGCCTTAGTGATCAGTCAGGACACAGGGATAAGTTTAAATTGGTGGATACCCGTGAAGACATCTTCAGTTGGGTAATCCACAGAGTTTTTAGAGCCAATGTGGCACTTTTCTGATATTTTGATTTACATAAAAGTCATTCTAAAATAGAGCGGTTTCTTATAATTCATTCATGGTGTTTTCTTCTCGCCATGTTCTTACAGTTTTGTCATTAGATGCAGGTCCAGATGGAGGCAATCAAGAAGCATCTGGAAGCAATGAGCTGGACAGGGGTAGACGCAGACACACACTGCAGGCACTGTCCCTTCCATCCCTCCTCGAGCTGGGAATGCCTCTCACTGAGAAAAAGGACAGGCCGAGCCACGCCACGTGCTCAAGATCTAACAGCCTAAAGGGCACACACTTCTGCTGGGGTTTTGGTGCCCTGGGAGAAAAACTACCAGAAAGTTAAGTATTTGGGAAAAATACAAGCCAAAGAAACACAGGACACAGTTCAGTCTCTATTCTCATGAGCATGAACTCAAGGCTGAGGACTCTCAGAGATTCAGCTAAAACCAAAATAGGAACTATGGAGGAAGGGTGGAAGTGTGAGGGGTAATAGCACTAGCACCAGAGAGATTTTCCCAAGGGTGACAGAACATTTCTCAGCCCCTAGAATGATACTTCCACCTATCAGAGCTATAGTTGGGCTATTGGGAAGTAGGGAGTAATCAGCCCAACAGCAGCCTACTTTGTTCTTAATATCCTGGGGGAAAGGGTGTGTTCAGAAGCTCAAGCATCCTGTCCACCTCTGCTCTGTTTGTATTATCAACTTTTACTAAAATATGGATCACTTCCTATTTCAAGGTGAGAATTCCAGGTGAGAAACCAGGTTGATGCATCCATAATGTCACACCTGGTGGGCAGAGGACCAAGACCCAACCCCTCAGAATAGCAACACAGCTGCCCGATCTGAGGGCTGTGGCCACGTCCTCTCTGCCCCCAAATGCCTCCAGGCAGCAACTTCTCCCCTTCCCTTTAAAGTCTTTGTTATCTGCTCGCTGGCTGCTGACTCCCCTCTTGGACTCAGCCTGCTCACCAGCACCCACGTGTTAAATGCACACCCATGTTATGTTCACACAAACCCTGCCCTGTGTGCTGCTCTCCCTCCTCTCTGCATCTCTGACATACGTGATGCACAAAGACATGGATAACAAGGAGGTACAAATGCTTGGCACAATAAATGAGGATCAGGTTTATAAGTAGTTTTCTAATGTGCTAGGTACTGTAAAATTTTACCATCCTTTTGATAATAGTTGTCCTTACAGTATTCTAAAAAGTCTATTTCATTTTCACTGAATAACTGTAAAGACAGAGAAATTAGCCAGCCAAACTACTGGAAGAAGGTAGAACAAATGAAAATTTTGATATATTACAAACTTTTTGTGAAAATTGTTACAGGTTCCAAATACTGCATACACAATGGAATATATACACAAATAAGAAAATGCTAGCCAAGAAGGGAGGTGCTTGGGAGAATGTCCAATTACAGATCACATGAAGGATAACTGGCTTTCCCCGACTCTAACAAACGCCACAGCTTAGGAAAGCTGTGGATTGTGTCAACAACATCTAGGTCACCTGTCAAAAGTTCTTCTTTGGGGAATGTCACCGTGACATTCAATAACAACCCATCAATTACATACCAAATTCTTTTTCTTCTCCTAAAGGCTGTCAGAATACAGAAACCCTTAACTGAGGGAAGTACCTCATTAAGGACCAAAGCCTAAAGGAAATCTGCAGCAAAGGATGCCTTCCTGTGGCTATTTGGGGTGGCAGGAGTCACCCTCATTTGGCCTTGGGTGACATCCAGGCATTCTCTGTAGGGCTTTGCTCTTAAAAAGGCTTTAGAAAAGAAGTAAGACAGAAGCCCTCAGTGTCTCTTAGATTTGCCTGAAGGGCTAGAATTTACATGTAATTTTATGTCATGACATCTGAGGGCCATTTTAAAGACTACATGCTTTAGCTTGGAGGTTTATGTTTACAATACATCTGACTGCTGAGAAAATCTTGTTTACAAAGTGTTGTACCTTGGGCTACATCTCTCTGTAATACCTACAGATGAGTGAAAAGGTCCAGCAAAAGGCTGGTCATAATTACAGGCATGTACAGAGTGTTTTTCAGTGCAAGCATTAGTTACTATGGCTACAAAGTTACTATCAGTGCAGGCTGGCCAAATTAAGGCAAAGGAAAACAAATCATCCATGCCCTTTTCCTTTTCTTTTTTTTCTTTAGTTGTGTTCGCTGCTTCAGTTAAGTTGGTAGAACAACTTCCTTTGCAGAAGGAGTTTTCCTGTAGCTTATTAAACACAGCCTCTCAGAGGTGTTAGGCAACTAAGAAACTCATTCTGAAATCCAGTTGCAATTTTCAGTCAGACGTTTTGCAATTTCCATCCTCACAGGCATCAGAACGATTGCCCCGGGGGAACAGGTGCGTGACTTACAGGCCATGGTGTGGTAAATGCTGGGCCAATACTGTCCACTGTCTCTCTTCAGCCATACTCGGAGGGTCCTGTGGAGAAATGAGAAGAGTGGCGATCAGTCATTTTTGCTTCCTTTGTGCTCCGGGAAACCTTAATTTTTAATTTGACAAAAAATTCCAACACCATTTCCTAATTGATCTTATAATCAATAGGACAAACTATAAAAATACATGTACACATGCATATATACACGTATATAGTATAAAACATATAGTTTATGTACTACATACACATACATTGTATACAGTGACATACAGTGCGGCCACATGTAAGTTATATATTACCTATGAGTCATGATTCAAATAACTGAATTATATGGGAATGTTTTGTATGTAAGGTTACACAAAGAAAACTGGGCATGACAAGACTACTTTTCTCGGTGAGGCAAACTCTGAGAACTTGTCTGCCTTGAGAAGGCAGTAGATCTAAGAGCAAAGAAAATGTTCATGGAGAGGTGAGGGTCAACACAGCACGGCTCACTCTCTGACAGTCCTCTGGCTCCGTGCCAGGGAGGGGAGCGTCCCACGCCATGTCTCTGAGTCCCTCTTTCAGGAAATCCTGTGCAAGTGCAGGAAAATGACAAATGACCAAAACAGCCAAAGCTTAACACTTGGGTTCCCTCCAAAAGCAGAGAACAACAGGGGACACTGCCGGGCACCCCCAAGCTCACAAACCCTAGCCCCGTCCAGGCCCTTGAGTCCCACTGTGCTCACCCCTCCGCCTCTGCAATGCCCCCCACCTGCACTCTGTCCAGGCATGCTTACACTTCAACAGCAACACGGATTCTGGAGCTGAGGAAATGTCTGACCTCAAACTGAATTACATCAAGACTGACACATGCTTTTTCTCTTGGAGTTCAAGACAAGTAAAACTGGTCCTATGGATGAAAACCTCAGAAAGAATAGTAGTGGTCTGGGGAGAGGATGAGGATGACAGGAAGTCAGGAGGGGAACAACAAAGCTATAGCTGGCTACCGTACGGCTCGGGCACTCATTTGCTAGACTTTGTCCTAGTATACTTCAGAACTGTGCAGACTATTGTAATCAGAATGTGGCCTTTGCTCATCCAAATAAATATGACAACGTATCACCACACTGAGGGTAAAGCTATTTCATTTGCGAAATGGGTAAAACCATTAGGGCTAATGCAGCCTGATCCAGCCTCCAAAACAACTAACAGTCTACAGAATAAAGAGAGGACAGAAGAGCACCATGACATGCACAGGAGCAAGACTGCAGGAAAGTCTATAGATAAATTACCCAGTTTCTTCTACAGATAATTTGAAAGAGGGAAAAAAATAGAGATGGAGGCCAAGACTATGATTCATGAAGTTTAAGAAATTTATCAAGCAATTAAAACATGTACACTTATTGGGATCCTGAGTGAAACTTTAAAATATATGCAGATAATATATGCAATCTGGAATATGAATACTAACAAGTGTTCTTACACTGATATTAAGATTATTGCTCATTTCTTTAGGCGTGACAATGTCACTGTCTTTTGTTTGTAAGAAGCAAATAATAACCTGGGCATGGTGGCGCACACCTGTGATCCGAGCACTCAGGAGGCTGAGGTGGGAGGATCGATCACAAGTTCGAGGGCAGCCTGGCTATACAGTGAGTTCAAGGCCAGTTTGAACTACAAACCAAGACCCAGCCAGGTGTGGTGGCGCACTCAGGAGGCAGAGGCAGGAGGATTATTCCGAGTTCGAAGCCAGCCTGGGCTACAGAGTGAGTTTAAGGCCAGCCTAAACTACATAGTGAGACCCTGTCTCAAAAAAAAAAAAAAAAAAAAAGGAAGACCTGTCTTAAAAACAAAATAAAACAGAGTAATTCTTGAATTTCACATTGGCCCTCACCAGTTATCCTCAGTGTGACACCGTGGCCAGCCCTCAGGATTCTCGTTACAGTGGTCTCCTCTCCCGTTACCGACTGGCCTCTTCCTGCTCTGCCCACCTCGAGTACACCGCATCACACCACTGCTGGGCTCAGCACAGCACCGTGGTCATCTCAAATCCAGGGTTCAACTGGCAAATTTAGTTCCTATGACTTCCCGACTGAGACCTCCATCCCACTGAGGTGCTGTTCTCAGGCTCCTCCTAAACACCCACACAGGTTATGCCCTAAGCCTGTCTCCCTCAAGACCCAGATGGCAGCATGGATGCCATTTCAATACAATTCCTTCACTGAAAGAATCAATGGAAGCTTACAATAATGCTTCTTAGAACTGAGCTATCACATTATCGTGACTACAGTCTGCTACTTACATCAGAATGCTTGTGGATACATTTCAACACAGGAGATGAAGCCAGCAGAGGGACCTACATGACCAAGGAATTACTTCCAACACACAGTAACAAACGCCAAGGTCCTTGATGCCCAAGGCTTTATGCAGTGCCACTTCAAGCTCACTGGCTTCATTTGTACAAAGAGCATAAAGAGTAAGCCTGAGTGAGAGGTATCCATCCTTCAGGTTTTTTAAGAGGAAGGAAGAACCGAATGATGACAAATTCTAAAACTCTTCAATCCCAAAGGTCTTCGGTCATGAATGTGTAGGACTTCAAAGGATTCCGTGGCACACCTTCTCCCTCTACCCTGGGCAAGGACAATACTGGGGAATCAGAGAACTCTGTTGTAAGGAGGAAATCTTAAAGGTCATCTCTCCCAATCAATCACTGAACCTCAAAGAAGTCAAACTGCATACACCTTCAAGATGATGTTTATAGGAGCCCAAGGTAAAACAGAACCTAGATCCCCGCATTTTAAAACAGTATTATTGCCTCTGGAGGGCAAACATCAGCATATAATTTGATCTGCACAACTTAGACCCAAGCAGCAATCTAAGAAATCGGCAAGATTTACACAATCTCTTGAGTGTTTTGCTTGAAAGCTGATTATCACATCCAAGCTGAGACAGCATCCATGTCCAGGAGTCAGGTTCCAAATTAGGCACCTGGCTTTGACAGTCAGCTCTACCTCTGCCTCCATACCTTCTACCTGGAATTCTCTTCACCCATCTCAAACTATACCCTTCTCCTTCCAAAATTAAGTCAAACCAATGTTAAGTTTAACTCGACACTTTAGCATTCCCACAAACCTGTGTGTTAAACAGAGCTGCCTAACTTCTACAACTTATACAGGAATTTATTTTACATTATGATCAGAATTTTCTCAAATTGTTTAACAAAGGGTTGTTAAAATAGGCTTCTTATTAAAGAAATCAAGAAATGCCAGGCTAAAAAATATACTACTTAGTAAACTGGAAGCAAAATCACTATTCAATAATGTGAAAGCAACACAATAATACAACTTAGTAACATTTTACTAAATGCAAACCATTAAAAACTCTACAATGATATAAAAACCATCTAATCACTAAGGTGTCAAGACCAGATGGTTTAATTTTTATATAACCCACAATATTTTCTGCCAAATGTCTAAGCTGCTGTCTCTACTAAGATAAAGCAGCTGAATTTTTCCTTTAATATTTTGACAACTTTACTCCCACACACCTAAACTCATTTTTATGTTTTTCCTGTCACTAATTCCATCCATTTTTCTAGCAGCTGGACCTTCTTTGATATTACAAGCCCATGTCAGTCTGAAATCTTTCCTTAAAACAACTTTAGGAGTGTGTTCATTCTTTTCCAAGTTTTGTATTCAAGTTGTTTTAAAAACAACAGTCTGCTATTTTTTCCAAAAGGTAATTGGAAAGGAAATGTGTGGTTGTCGTTTCTTTCTGCATCTACATAAATGACTTCCAAGTTTCTCTGCAATCCCCAAGGAAGGCACCACCATCTGTTCGCTGGCCTTGCTAGGAAGAGAAACAAGGGCCTCTGGGGCCATGATCCCTTCTATTTCCTCGGAAGTCGATAACGTATGTGCATACATGACTATATGTCCACTGCTACTCACTGCATTTGTTTATCAATCATTCAGCATTATGGATATTTCACATACTCTCCAGGCAGATGACATGCCAAAGTTGCATCAGATTTCTTTATTTTAAATCATATTGGAATGTTTATTTATTTAACAGTACTGGAGATTGACCTAGGGGCTTCACACTAGGATACATCCTCAGCCCTGTTTCATTTTCTTTTTCTTTTTTTTTTTTTTTGGCACTGGGGATCGAACTCGAGACCTTGCATTTGCAAGGCAGGTGACAGAACCACTGAGCTAAATCCCTGGCCCCCTGTTTCATTTTCATTTTGTTTTTTTAATTTTAGGACAAGGTCTTGCTGAGTCCCTGAGTTGCCCAGGCTGAGTCTAAACTTGTGATCCTCCTGCCTCAGCCTCCCAGAGTGCTGGGATTACAGGTGTGCGCCACCACCACCCCCTACCATGCTAGAGATAAGCAGAGGAACAATTTACAACAGATCTAATTCAGAACGCTGACAAAGAAGAAAACTAACTCTTTAGAAAGACTTTTGCGCCATATAGTGAGGAACATACGCATGCCTGATGATGATGATGATGATGATGATGATGATGATGATGATGATGATGATGATGATACAACACTAATGACAAACTCAGAAGAATTCCAGCCTTGGCAATTGTTTCATTTAATAAGAAAAAGGAACTATATATTTCAAAATTAGTTATGTGCATATGTCAAGGAGTAAACACTGGGAAAGAAGGTTAAATAATAAAATGGGCTAATGATACAATAAATATAAAGTAGATAAAGCTTATAAAGTCATTAAAACTGCTATGAAGACCTAAAGATGTGTGTGAATGGTTATGAAATGTTCATTTTTTAAAAGAGCACAATATACAGTTACATAACTAGATTGTGTCACCATGCCACGTCTGGCTGCATAGGCGGGGCCCAGGTGGTAAGGGCAGGAGGTGAGGGGAGGGGACACACGTGCAAGGTACACAGCAACTTTGGCTCCTTGTGTTTTTTACTCATTTATTTAACTTGTGTTGGGTTTAGAGGGTGGGCAGTGGTAAGAATCAGACAGTGGGCTTTGCATAGATTGTCTGGCTCCATTTAGTTGTTTTGTCCAATTTTATTCCTC